ATACCTGTATATGTAGTGGATTTTGTTATAGAAGAACTCTGTGGGAAACACCAGTCTTTAATAAAGCCCAGCCTTGCCCTGAAGAAAGACATTATCTTTTTTTATCCTGGAAAGCAAAAACATCTGTCCTTGGTCATAAAGGAAGACATTCTATCTTCCAAGGATGTTTGCTATATGAACAGCCCAAAGAGTTAGTTCAGAGAAAAAGCCGTTAATGCTTTTGCCTAGAACACATGCAGAAATGAAAGAGATCAATGGAGAATAGTCTCCTAACAAATATTAATAGTTGCTTTAAAGCCTTCATCACATAATTTTATCATCTGTGTTATCTCAACATTGTCCTTTTTTCCCCTATATAAATTGAGATTTTCCTGTTTTTTTAATATGCTTTGTAATTTTGGACTGTATCATGGACATTTTGAATATTCTGTTCTGAGATGCTGGATCTTATTTAAATCCTGCTAAGACTATTGATATTTTTGTTTTAGCAAGCAATCAAGCTGGATAGCTTCCTGCCACAAGTTCAGACTAGTCTTCTGCAGGTGAGAAAGCACATAATGATATGAATATCCACCTCCAAAACCCCAATATGTACTAAATTCCAGAGTAATAAACCTAGAGAGGCCTTCTTCCTCTTCCCCAGAGGAAATTCACTTACATTTCAAGATAATGAGTAATATCTCTCCCAAGTGGGAGGAATGGATAGGTCATCTGCAGCTTTGATAAAAGCTTGGAGTCTTCCAAATTTAAGATTCTTCACCTGTGATGGAACCCACTGCACAGGAAACATCTGTTGGCTTATGGGAAATGAGGTATGGGGAAATGACATAAGGTGTTGTAAATGCTTTGTGCTTTGAGTAACAAATCTTTTATGGCAGTAGCCCAGCAGTCTGGTGTTCTCTGCCAATATATGTATATGAAACTGTGACAAGCTAACCTATTAGCTTGCAAGAAGGATGAAATCTAAGACACTTCACAGTTTCTCACTTAACAGGGGAGAGTGGCAGGATGTGAAGGTGAAGAAGCAGGCAAGGCAAATCATGTAGCACCATCCATAGTTGAGGTAATAGATGGATTGTTAATGTTAAGAATAATGACAGCAGTAGCATTGGAAAGGAAAACAAGACACTGCATGCTAAGCTCTTCTGTGATGAGGGTGAGAGACTAGGAGCACAGTAGATGATTGTACAAAAAAAGGAGAATGAATGATATGGTCAAGAGAACTAGAATTTTCAAAGGAAAAAAAGGATCTGGAATTGTCAGAGGGTAATAAACAGGACACCTACTTCATCTCTAGGCCCCTTTGGTAAGTGAGTTGAGTGATTTTTAAAAGCAGACACAATTTGAGAGTACTGTAGGGAAAGCAATATTATTAGGAGATGGTTAGGTTTTGGTTAGAGTAAGAAAATGAAAAGAATGTTCAGAAAAAGGGTTAAGGATTAGGAGATTTGACTAATGACAATACTGTGGAAGGGTCAACACAGATTAAGAGGAGCTGGAGGCCGGGTGGCTCACATTTGTAATCCCAGCATCTTGGGAGTTGAGGCAGGCAGATCACCTGAGGTCAGGAGTTCAAGACCAGCCTGGCCAACATAGCGAAACCCCATCTCTACTAAAATACAAAAATTAGCTGAGTGTGGTGGCGCACACCTGTAATCCCAGCTACTCTGGAGGCTGAGACAGGAGAATTGCTTGAACCCAGGAGATGGAGGTTGCAGTGAGCCGAGATCATGCCACTGCACTCCAGCCTGGGCAACAGAGAGATGCTGCCTCAAAAAAAAAAAAAAAGAAAAAAAAGAGGAGTGGGAAATTAGGCTAGATTAGAGCAAAGCATGATGTTGTTACAATTCTATACAATTGACTCTAAAAGATGCAAATAGGCAAATGAGGTATGATGGGGTTATTTCTAATTTTTTTTTAAAAAGAAGGACTCATTATAGCCTCTTGGGATTGTTCTTTTAAGCGGTTTATAGCTTGTAATTATAATCTCTTAGAATTATTCTCTTAGGCAGTGTATAAAGCGGGTGGATATTTTGATGGCATCACGGACAGATTTACCAGGATCACACTCAACTCTGTGTGCCTCAAAAATCCAGCTGGAGTTGTGACTGGGAGGAACTTTGGATGTGTTATTTAAATCCAGGAACACTTGGGAATTTTAGAGGCTTTCTTTACAGTCTAAGTCTTTGGTGTTGCTGCCACTGGACAGGCAATCTTCAGGAGCTTGGAAATCTTGCTGTTACTGGAAAAGAGCATAGTGATGTAAATATCTACCTGGAAAACCCAAGAAAAGCAACATCACTTTGGGTGTCTCCTCAAACTTCAGCTCATCAGAGGGGGCTTATTTGAATACACTATCTGAGAGAGTATCTTTCCTGGTCACTTTCCATTCTCCTTTCTATGCTTCCCCCTCACCACCACCTCCTTAGCACTTATCACCACCTGTCATATATTTCTTTCTCTAGTATTTCCTCTCAGTAAGACATAAAGACCTTGAGAACAGATTTTTTACTGCTATTTCCAGGACCCAGAATAGCATTTGGCACATTGTACATACTCAGTAAATATTTGTAGAGTGGATGAATGGATAGATAAACTAAAGAGTATTAGAACCATTAAGCAAGTTTGGTAATTAATTACCAATTAAAAAATCAGTAATTCTGCTGGGCATGTTGGCTCACGCCTGTAATCCCAGGACTTTGGGAGGCTGAGGGGTGTGGGTCATCTGAAGTTAGGAATTAGAGACCAGTCTGGCCAACAAGGTGAAATCCCGTCTCTACTAAAAATATAAAAATTAGCAGGGTGTGGTGGCATGCATCTGTAATCCCAGCTACTTGGGAGACTGAGGCAGGAGAATCGCTTGAATCCAAGAGGCAGAGGTTGCAGTGAGCCGAGATCGTGCCACTGCATTCCAGCCTGGGTGACAAATTGATACCCTGTCTCAAAAAATTAAAAAATCAGTAATTCTGAAATTAATAGTGTTTCTATGTACCAGCAAAAACCATTTGAAAAGTATAGAAAAAAAGTATTAATAGTAATAAAGAATATGAAATATCCAGAAGTAAACTAAATGGTAAATAATACTCAAATTTTACCGACAGAGGAAATGGATGAAGGAGAGTACCATGCTGCTGGATGGAAAGACATAATGTCATAATAATACAAATTCTCTTCAAGTTAATCTGTAAAGTGGACACAATAGCAATCAAAATTCCAGTGGAATTTTTAGAGAAAAGGAAGTGGCAAATTTGACAAAATGATTGTAAATTTCACCCTGAAGAATAAATGCTTCAGAATAGTCAATTCATATTCTGAAGAAAGGCACTGATAAGGGACCTTGCAAAAAAAAAAAAAAAAGAGAGAGAGAGATAAGGGACCTTGCTCTATTAGACACAAAAACCTATATAGGAAAAGACAAATGGTAATACCATTTAAAAAAAAATTTTTTTAAGTACATACGCCTTGCCCAAACATTCCACCTCTGGAAAATTTCCCTGAGAAATAACTAGATCATATGGCAAAGATGTTTATTGAAACATTGCCCAATACCAAACCAATTAAATACATTCATTTTTGACAAGTAGAGGATGCTTTTAACAAAGTATGGTTTAAATAAATTCCTGTGGAATACCACGAAGCTCTTAAGCATGATGATGTAGAACTACATTAATTGATATGGAAGGTGATCACCATATATTTGTGGTGTTTTAGCTGATTACAAAACAGTATGTCTCGTAGCCACATTTTTGTAAAATAAAAATTGGCATATACATGTGAAAAAAGGTCTAGATGGAAGATTATATATCAAAATGTTAACAGTAGTTCTGCACCTGTACACTGAAAAACTGATAAGCTTTCCCTAAAATGGGATGGCTGTTAAACTCCTCATTACTGCCACCTGGTGGCAACTAAGGGAGATTCCTGATTTCTTTTCTACCACTTTGAGTACAACACACAAAACATCGTAATTAAATAAAGTTATAAAGAAATCTTCAGTATCACCTGGTTCTACCCATCATTTTGTAGCTGAAGAAATAAACAGCAAAGACTTTAAGCCACTTGTCTAAAGTTTCACTATTAGTGAAATTTAATAATAGTAGCAAACATTTGTTGAGCCCTTTTGCTATGTACTTCAAATGGATTATATCATGTTATCGTCACAGGAGTCTATGAGGTTGGTCCTATTTTTACTCTTACTTATCCCCATTTACAGGATGAGGATCCTGAGGTTCAGGAAAAGTAAGCAACTTATCCAAGGCTGTATACCTGAGATACAGCCAGTCATTCTGAGTTTCACCTCCCTCTCCTGAACCTCTGTACTGTACCTTCTTAGCCCATTAATTGCCTCAGCCCTTTCCAATACGTGCTCTTGCCCTTTCCTTGTCTCTTCCTTCAATGTTTTGCTGACAACTCTTATCATATGCCCAGTCTTTAGCTTATGTTTCTCATGGTTGAAAAGACAGTATAGGCCAGGTGTGGTAGCTCACGCCTGTAATCCCAACACTTTGGGAGGCCACGGTCAGGACTTCCAGACCAGCCTGGCCAACATGGCAAAACCTAGTCTCTACTGAGGTAATCTCAGCTACTCAGGAGGCTGAGACATGAGAATTGCTTGAATCAGGAGGCGGAGGTTGTTGTAGTGAGCGGAGATCGCGCCACTGCACTCAAGCCAGGGGATAGAGCAAGACTCTGTCTCCAAAAAAGAAGAAAAGATGGTATAAACATTTACTGAGAGAAGTATAAGGAAACAAAATAACCTTTCCCCTGGCTCCTTACCCCAAGACCCTTGTCCAGATAGAAACTCAGACTTATTAACATATTGAATTGTTCAAGTGTCCGTATACTAAGAATCTTATGTCAGCGATATGGAACTATGGATAGGCTTCCTTGGGTTCCCAGCTCCACACTATAATCCTCCTCTTAAGTTTCTGTATAGCAGAGTTTAGAGTGAATATCACTATATGCAGTTGTTCATGTACTTCTTCCCCTTTCTCTTCTAGCTCTTGACAAAATTCTCAGGGAAAACTGTGTTCAGCTCTGGATGTCTCCCTTTTCGTGGATCAAACACAAAGGGCATCATTTTAAAATATATACGGAACCATAAAAGCCCCAAATAGCCAAAACAACCCTGGGCAAAAAGAACAAAGCTGGAAGCATCATACTACCAGACTTCAAAATTTACTACAAAGCTTTAATACCTCAAACAACATGGTGCTGGAATTAAAAAAAAAAAAAAAAANAAAAAAAAAAAAAAAAATAGACACATAGACCAATGAAACAGAATAGAGAATCCGGATATACCAACTCATCTTTAACAAAGGTGCCAAGAACATAGAATGGGGAAAGGATGACCTTTTCAATAAATGATGTGGGGAAACTGGATAACTATATGCAGAAGAATGAAACAAGATTCCTCTCTCTCACCATACACAAAAATCAAATCAAAATGGATTAAAGGTCTAAATCTAAGACCTGAAACTATGAAACCAGTAGAAGAATACACTGGGGAAGTGCTCCAGGACCTTGGTCTTGGCAAAAGATTATTTTTGTGCAAGACCTCAAAAGCACAGACAACAAAGCAAAAATAGACAAATGAGATTACATTAAGCTAAAAAGTTTCTGCACAGCAGAGAAAACAATCAACAGAGTTGGGGAGACAACCCATGGAATGGGAGAAAATATTTTCAAACTTTCCATCCAACAAGGGATTCATGACCAGAATAAACAAAGAGCTCAAACAATTTAATAAAAGAAAAAAAAAAAAAAAACCCACAAAACCCAAAAAACAAATAATCTAAAAAGTGGGCAAAAGATCTGAACAAACATTTCTCAGAGGAAGACAAAAATGGCCAACAGATATATGAAAAAATGTCCAACATGACTAATCATTAGAGAAATGCAAATTAAAACATGTTATTTCACCCCAGTTAAAATGACTTGTATTTAAAAAAACAGATAATAACAGATGCTAGTGAGGATCTGGAGAAAAGAGAACCCTTGTACATGGTTGGTGGAAATGTAAACTAGTACAACCACTCTGAAGAACAGTATGGAGGTTCTTCAAAAAACTAAAAATAGAATTACCATATGACCTAGCAGTTTCACTACTGAATATCCAAAAGAAATCTGCATATCTAAAAGATATCTGCACTCCCATGTTTATTGTAGCATTGTATGCCAAAGTATGGAATCAACCTAAGTGCCCAACAATGGATGAATAAAGTGTGGCATATAAGCACAATGAAATATTAATCGGCCATAAAAAGCAATTAAATCCTCTTATTTGCAGCAACATGGATGGTATTGGAGACCACTATGTTAAATAAGCCAAGTACATAAAGATAAATACTGCATGTTATCAGTCATACATGGGAACTACATACGTGGATGTTATGATGACACAGAGTAGATTGGTGGTTACCAGAGGCCAGAAAGGAGGGGATGGAGTAGGGGATGAAGGCGGAAAAAGTATATGAGTGTATTCATTACCACTGAACTGTGCACTTTAAATGGTAAAGATAATATATATTACCTCAATTTACAAGAGAAAAAACAAATGGCATCAATGTTAATAAGTGTGAAAGTTGTACTGGGAATAAATCTCATTTAAAAGTGAAATTAGAAATCTGAAATAACTAGTGCAGTTAGCCTCTGAAGCCCAAAAGTCTTATTCAGAGCTGGTCCCAAAATGAATACATACCTTTGTTTTATTGTCTAATTAAAGCTGCTGTTTTTCAAGTATTAGTTTGCTTCAAAATAATTTTTTTATTGGTACTAGTATTATAAGAGTATTATTTCCTCTTTTTCAGCTATACTTTTTGTAGAACAGTGTTAGTGAAAAGAACTTAACTGTTAGACAGCTTTGAGTTAAAATTCACATATTAGCTGTGATGAGGAAACTATTACATTAATTAAATTTTAATTACTTAATTTTATGATTTCTAAAATTAAGGATAATAACATCACCAAAGGTGGTGGAGAGGATTTAATGGGATGACGCATAAAACTGGGACACAGAGGCATCTAACAAGTACACATTTCCTCCCCTTCTCTCTTGTTATGTACTTATCCACATGGGCTAGAATTTCTCTGAAGGAACCAATTCTATCTTAACCAGCGTTCTATCTGAGGTATTTGAGGCTCTCTGCTTTTTCTTTCACATCCCACTTTGGATCTTTCATTACCTACTGCGAGCTCTGCTTTTAGACTAGATTCATAATTCAGTGATTTCCTACTCCTCCACAAACACCACCCCGGCCCAGGCCATCATCATTTTTCATCTGGACTACTGTAGTCACTTCCTAACTAGACTCCCAACTTCCACTCTTGCTGCTCGCCATTTATTATTCACATAGCAGCCAAAGTTATTCTTTCATAAATTAGATCATGTCACTTCTCTGCTCAAAACCTTCCAAGAGCTCCCCATGACTTTTAGACTAAATATCTAAAGTCCTTACCAAAGTCTACCAGACCTCTGTGATTTAACCCCAGCCTATCATTCTGACTTCAAACCTTTCTCATGCTCCCTTACTCTGCTCCAGCAGCACTGGCCTCCTACTTTTTTTTTTTTTTTTTTTCCCAAATGGCATGATCTTGGCTCACTGCAACCTTTGCCTCCTAGGTTTAAGCAATGCTCCTACCTCAGCCTCCCAAGTAGCTGGGATTACAGACACCTGCTGCCATCCCCAGCTATTTTTTTTCTATTTTTAGCAGAGAAGGGTTTTCACCATGTTGGCCAGACTGGTCTCGAACTCCTGACCTCAGGTGATCCATCAGCCTCCCAAACTGTTGGGATTACAGGTGTGAGCCACTGCGCCCAGCAGTCCTTGCTGTTCTTTGATGGTGCCAAGCATACTCCTGCCTCAGGCCCTTTACATCTGTTATTCCTTCTGCGTGGAATGCTCTTTCTAGATCTTTAATGACTTGCTTTCTCATTTTCCACCTCAGAGAAGCTGAATCTAGGTACCTCATTTTAAACAGATACCCCTGCAAGACTTTCTTTCCTTATGCTTATTTTCCTCATAGCACTTACCCCACAATGACATTGAGATATAGATTTTCTTTCCTTCCTTCCTCTTTTTCTCTTTTCCTTCCTTCCTTCCTTTTCTTTCTCTTCTCTCTCTCTCTCTCTCTCTCTCTCTCTCTCTCTCATATGTTGCCCAGCCTCTTGGGCTCAAGTGATCTCCCCACTTAGCCTCCCAAGTAGCTGGGACTATAGGTACATATCACCACACCTAACTATACATATAGTGCCACCTAAAATGTAAGTTTCCCATCTGAAATATAGGTTCAAGACTTTGTTTTGTTCACTTTGTATTATCAGCATTTACATCTGCCAGGCACTCAAAAGTATTTGTTGAATAAGTAAGTGAGCAAACTTTAACTTACTGCTATCCAATCAGCAAACTTACCTGCTTCCACAGCCATCCTTTCCCCTCTCCCTCCTTTTGAGTAAGAGATGTTTTTCTTCCTGTCTGAGATTGTGTCTCCTGTGTCCTGCCTCCTCAGCATTCCTTAATATTGCCTATCTTCTATATTCATTTTTCCCTGGCTACACTTTTTGTTTTCTGGCAAGCACACATCTCTCCCATCTTAAATTTAAAAAAAGAAAAAAATCTCTGTGCATCGCCTGTCAGCTGCTAGTCTCTCTCTCCTGCTCTTAACAGCCAAACTTGTGAAATATTTATTTATACTCTTTGCATTGCCTCACTTCTCTTTCATTCTAGTTTCTCCAAACCCATAGGAACTGCTCAGTCCTGTATAAAACAATTTCTTTCCTGAGCTCTTCTAAGATACTGCTCTCATTGTTTTTTTATGTTACTTCCCTGATTGCTACTTTTCCTGTCCCTCCCTCAAATTTTGTGTCTCACAGGGTTCTGATACAGGTTCTTTGTGTTCTCCAGATTCTCCCTTGTCAATCTTACCACATCCATTGCTTTAGTTACCACCCAAACCTAAATGCCCAGCCCACATCTCTCTGTTCTAAGCTCACGGCTTATTTGACTTAGTGCCTACTTGATCTTCACCTTGATTTCCACAAACCCCTCAAAATAAAGATACTCTCTTCCATCTCCAAACTTGATTCTCCTCCAGGTTAACTTATTTTTGTGCGTGGTACCATCATTCAGTTGCTCAAGTAGAAAACGTGGATATTGTCCTTTATTTATCCTTCTTCTTCAGTCCCCTTCCCCCATCTAGCCAACCATTGGCTTCCGTTAATTCTATTACAGTGAGGGGCTGAGCATGGTGGCTCATACCTATAATACCAGCACTTTGGGAGGCTGAGGCAGACAGATCACCTGAGGTCAGAAGTTCAATACCAGTCTGGTCAACATGGCGAAGCTCCGTCTCTACTAAAAATACAAAAATTAGCCAGGTGTGGTGATGGGCACCTATAATCCCAGCTTCTCCGGAGGCTGAGGCAGGTAAATCACTTGAACCCAGGAGGTGGAGGGCAGAGGTTGCAGTGAGCCGAGATCGTGCCATTGCTCTCCAGCCTGAGCGACAGAGCAAGACTCCATC